GCCATATAGCTGTTCAACATCTATCAGAGAGGATCAGTACAATAATCATAATAGCAGATGTGAATACCCACACACGGTTTAGTTTTATACAGATTCATGTAGGTTATGTGAGGTGAGCACTGAAACAGATACTTGGCAAGTAATCTAAACCAGGTCTTAACCTTTTAGACGTTGGAATCTGGAAAAAGGATGCTATATTAAATGCTATATGCTAAATATAATTTGAATTATCTGTTATTAGGTCTGGTTTTGATTGCGTATCACAACAAGTACTTAAACTACAAAGTTAATTGATATGAGGCATACTCCTTTTTTTTTTTTTTTTTTTTTTCCCCTTTATTCCCTTTTTTATCCATAAACCAGATACAGTGTGTGTGTGTTTTACAGCCAAAATGAGAATATCATGGTGGCTTCACCTGCAAATAATCAGAAAAGCTGCCATGTTGACAATTTAAAATCCTGTTTTCCTTTGTTTTAAGTAATCCAGGATCAAATTAAAGACATACCCAGAATTCTTTCTGATGGTTGTCTGTTTACCAAATTTCTTTACAGGAAAATATTTTTAATGTTATTCTTCCATGCTGCACCTTTTTTCTTCCAGGTTGATGCTGTTAAAGAACAGGTGAAAGCTAAATGCTCTGTTTTTGATCTGTTTAGCTCGGACGACTGTGGCCTTGAGTGTGCATGGTTTTAGCTACACTCTCACTTCAACACAGTCACTGACATATCTTTCAAGCTGACATTGTAGTTTTTAGGAAACTTCGTAGATTTGTAATCTCTAATAAGTCTGAGGAAATTAAAGTGTAGACGTCTGCTGAAAGAATAAAGGACTGAAGATTTTGTATTCACCACACTGACATTAGACATCTGGAATTAACCTACGTGTCATAGGCCGTTATCAGACAAAATCTGTTGTGATTGCATATAATAATATAATACCAGTGTAAGCGGAACCGCTGAGTATGAACCGTGACATGTAAATCTAGTCAAGAAACACGAAAATCAACTTGGCTTCAGGATGGGTTTGTAATAAATGAGTTATATTCTTGTGGATGAGGAACAAGATGATACTTTCTGTCAGTCTAAAGGGACAGAAATACTACAAGAGAAAAACACAGGCAGCTATCTCTGAGTGGGAAATGATTGTAATCTAGCTAACTTAAGTGGCCATTGTTTGCCCCTATCCCCTACTTAAAGAAATATGAACCAACAGCAGACTGTAATAGAGATTCAATCAGAGGTCCAAAAGAAACCACTGTCTACCCAGGGAAGTTTGTTGGAAAAAATGCACTGAACAAGAGGGCTTTAATCATGGTTAAAATATCTGGTTTACCCTCTGAATTCATAAAATGTGGATAATTTTGTTTGCCACTGGTGCTCAAACAGTGGAGAAGCTTCAACAAGGATAATCAGGTCTCTGCAACTTTATTTAAAAGTGCATTTCCTCACAGATATTGCCACTGCACAATATGAAGCTGTATGTATTTTTTGAAGATTGCTGTGTTTTGATTTAGTAGCTGGTTATTAGAATAAAGCATGTGTGGAACGCCTCTTGCTGATACATAGCAGCAAGCTGTTGGCTGTGCCTGGCTTCCTGTAGAAATACTTGAACTGTAGGTGGCACCTTGGCTGAGACTCACCCTCCTTCTTCCTCTTCCTCCTCCCACCAAACTGCATCTCAGTGCTGCCTGTTCTTCACTGCCAGCGGTGTAACACAGCATGGGACTGTTTCTGTTTACAGTGAAGCTTCAGCTCTGTGAAAATGTGCAGAGAACTTGAATTAAAGAGTTTTTCTGAAGAGGCATGGTTAAACTGAATGATAAATACATATATAAAAGATGTGGAAGTGCACTGCTGAGCAAGCCTTCACTTGTAACTATAGAAATAACCAGCATCCAGGTGCTGCTGCGCTCCCAGGGGACCTCATATGTACATTTTGCTTATTGCTGCATCTGACTTGCTGCCCAAAGAAGTTCTTATTATTATGACTTTTTCATGTATTTATTTATTTTTTTTTTTATGAAGAATTTGCAGCTTTTAGGCAGGCCACAGAGACTGTTAGAACAGAGGAAATACAAATTCTTAGTTTAACTTGTTTTATGTTATTTCTGCATTATTATTACGCATTCATTGTTGGACTCTGAATAGTAGCCACAAGAGAGGAGTGAAGGACAATACTCATGAATGCATTATGTTCTTATATCTCTGTATACGGTGTGTATCACATGTGAAAAATGGGTGCTTAGAGTTGTGACCCACATGAACATCCTTTTTAGAAAAGCTGTCGGATTAGTTAATGAATATGTAACTTTTTCTTTTTTAACTTGTTTAGTATGTTGTTTACACATTAATTGTTGTGGCTTTGTTCTAAATGTTTTTATCTCTTTGTCTTGCAGGTAGATAAACTAGAAACCTCAGAGTCCCTAAGGAAAGAGGAGGAGCAGGCCACAGAGACGCAACCCATCGTTTATGGTAACAGTCCTCTAATGACATCAATGTCCATTTGCCTGACACATGAATTTAAGACATGGTGAATTTAAGTCCAGTATTCACTCCGTTTGAGCTCTCGTATTGGTTGCTCTACAAACTCCTGAGGGAAATATCTCTGCTAAATGCTCCTCTTTGTTTACCAGCTAGTCGCTAACTGTGTCTGTCTAGTGTTAAACTGTCGCTCTAGTAAAAATAACAGACCACTAACATGTTTGAAACCTTTCCTGTGTGTACCTTGCAGGCACACCCCAGCTGATGCTGACAGCGGGCCCCAGCGTACCTGTGGCCCCTCAGCAAGCTTACGGCTACGGCTACCAGGCACCTGCGGGATACAGTCAGCCAGCAGCTCAGCCAGGCTTTGGCTACGGCATGTAAAGACCCCTGACCCCTCTCTCCACATGCAGGCTGGAGCTACCATCCATCCATCTCCCACAGTCCTTCACCAGA